CTAGTTGTTATTTTTGGTTTTGATTTCATTAGAGGAGTTCGTCCATGGCTTTCTGTTCATGTCAGATCGCTTCTCAGGTTTGTGAAATCTGCTGGGAATCTTCCATCGTGTATTTCTTCCTTCAGCACTTGAAGGAGAAGGGAGAAAATACTACTGGGAGCCTATATAAAAAAGTTTTGTGAAGTCCTTGTGAGTCTAATCCCATTTTGAAACCAAGGGTTCTGGAAAATTTCAGAAAGCTAGAGAATGATCTCAAACTGACATACAGAGGGATGTAAATAATCAGGAGCATATTTGATGTACTATTTAATTTGCAGATTCTTCTTTTTTTACAGATTTTTTTCTGGTTCATGTTTTGTCCTCAAACTCCTCAGCATATTCATTTCCATTTTGGTGAGAACAGGTAGTTTTTCTGACTTTCCAGAAAATTGGTGCTTGTTTGTTTTTTTTTTTTCTTTACCAGAAGGTAAATGTGAGGCAATAAATTAAAGGTTCTGAAAAGCGTTTACGTGCACAGGAGGAGAACAAGGCAGGTTAGGGCTTTTTTAAAGGCGAATTTAGTGAGGTGAAGCTTAACCAGCATTGACAGCTCTGGAAATGGATGTCTTCTATCTTTCATTAGAATTGTGCGTAACAACAGTGTAAGTTTCATAACTTTGCTTCTTCTTTTTTTTTTTAAATTTAGAGTTTTTTCCCTTTTCTGGAGAGGCCACCTATAGAGCTGTGACATTTGTCCAGTTTCCATGTTCCATGCTCTCTTGGTCTTTGGCCTGTCTGAGGCTGCCAAGAAATGTGTTAATTGCTGTGGTTTTGGTAATGTGGACACCTGTCCAGGACAAAATGAACTGAGATCAGTAATTAATTTCAAATTTATGGAAGATGTAGGTTCCTCCTTCTTCCTCCTTCCTGTCAACAATTTATTTTTCCTTTCCGTAGACCATGTAATAATTTTGACTTCAGCAGGGTTTTCCAGACTTAACCAGCATGGGTTCTGGTTAGTAGCTGAAATAAAATCATAGGTTCTGGAATTTGCCTTCAGAATAAAATACCCTTAGGCCAGATATAGTTTGCATTTGAATTGAAGTGGATATTTTCCCTTGTCAAAGGGTGAGTTACCAACAGTGTCAACAAAATCACGTAAGCTCTGCTTTCTTCCTCTAAGACTGTGAACACATGTATTTCTGAGGTGGAGCTCAGCCATTTTAGTGTGCGTGGAACTGTTTGGTTCAGAAGTGCTCTTTCAGTTCAAGCTTTGGTAGTAGCTTTCTGCCTAATTACTGAAAGAAGTGCTCATGACTTCGCAGTCTACTGCAAAGCTTCAGTGCTATTCCTCCAGATAGTCTGTTAGTTCTACGTAGAGAGTGTTTTGCTTTTTGGATGGATATAAGAGATCCTTAAAAAGAGACTTGAAAATAAATGCTACTGAGTGATGATACCAATAAACTGCTAAAAGCGTAGACAATTTAGTGAGAGACTACTTTGCAAGATCCCTGTAAATGCAAGAATTCTTTTCATTTGAAGATTGTTCTTGAATTGTGTTTTGACTATTACACTTAAATAAATGTTTGCATTTAGATTTCAGATGGAGCACAAACTTAAAAGTATTGCTTATAAAAGCTCTAGATAATACATTAATTTAAAAAAATCAAACCTGTTGAGATAATTTGCTGTGTGTTTTCTTGTGCTTCTGCCTTGAAACTGTGCTGTAAACTTTCTTAGTTTTCTACTAATTCTTAGTTTCAGTCAGGCTGCAAGCCCCATGAAAACAGAGGAAGGCTGTGTGTATTTTCTTGGTTCTTATTCCAGGCAAAACAAGGAGGGAGAAGTGAATACAGAAATGTTAGCCTAACTTTGTTAAAAATCAAAATTGATGTGAAGTTTTGGATATTCGTGTAGAGTTTTTCTTCTCTGTTTTTCCGCTTTGAAATATTTTGGTCTCTTTTCAACCATTCAGAATGTCAGTTTTAAAAACCTATTGGTACTGTTATTCAGTGAGAATTATGATTTAAGTGTGTTCACTCTTTGGGTGCTTTAGAATTCCCCAGGTGCAGATTGCAACCATGTTTAAGTTAAAATACAAATATTTTCCAAAGCTGTAATTTATGTAGTAGGTGTCTGGTGACTGAGTTACTGGATACAGTTTGGGTTGGACCAAAGCCTAGAAGTTGTATTTTGGTTGTGCTAGCAACTGCAATGGTGGAAGAAAGCAAGGAAGGAAGGAACAAAGTTCTCAACAAATCTGTCCATGTTGTGATCTTTACTAATTTACTTTCTTTAGAAGTATCTCTTCGTTACGCATGAGTGCTTTACAATACAATGCTATGGAGGGAAGCAATATGAAAATATAGATAATTTATTTTATATGCTGTATATATATTAATCACCTGAGACACTGAGGTGAACATCTTCAGTGCCAGCAGAGTGAGATGCCTGGTGGCGGGTCCCAAACTGGAGGAAACTCAGGAGCCGAGAGAGCCGCCAGCAGCCCTGCCATTCCACCACAGTAGTGGATGGGACCTGGATGGGGCTGAGGCCCTCCTCCCCCTAAAAAGCTCTGGGGAGACCTAGCTACCAGGGAGGACAAACAGGGCATGATGCAGCATATTGTGTGCAGGAAGGTTGCTGTATATCTGCCAGCTCAACTGGGGAGCAATAGTCTCCACCTGGCAGAAGGCCATGTCCTCTCTGAACTCTGCACCCACCACAACTGAGGCAGCTTCCCAGGCAAAGCTCTGGTGGGAATATGCTGCCACCTGGGTGTCAGGCTACAGGATGTGCCAAAATAGACAGCCTGGACCCTCTTCTTGGGGAAGTCTGCTGCCTCCCCGGGGCATGGGTTAAAGATGTGAAGAGAAACTCCCTACCCTGGTATGGCCCTCAGATTACTACCCATTTTGGATTTTTCAGGTAGGCAGCAATGAAGTTGCTACAAGAAGTCCAAGAGCAATCAGGAGAGGCTTTGGGGCCTTGGGACAATTTGTTAAGGATCAGGAGCACAAGTAGTGTTCTCCTCTATCCTGCCAGTCACATGGAATGATGAGGGAAGAAACAGGAAGACTGAGCTGATCAGTGCCTGGCTCTGAGCCTGGTGTCACTGGCAGAATTTTGAGTTTTTTGATCATGGGTCTGCCTACATGACACCAGGGCTACTGGTGACAGATGGAGTACACTTGCCTCAAACAGGGGAAGGGATCTGTGTGGGAGTTAGCAGAGCTTGTCAAACAAGCTTTAAACCAGATTTGAAGAGAGAAAGGGATAAAACCAGACTTTCTAGAAATAATCCTGAGGGTGGCAGGCCAGTATTTGAGGGATGCTCTGCTGGAGTGTTACATCAGGTTGGTGGCCAGTCACCAGTGGGATTCCCCAGGGCTCAGTTTTAGGGCCAGTACTCTAAAGTTTTTATAAATGATCTGGATGCTGGAACTGAATATACATTAAGTAAGTTTGCCAACAATGCTGAACTAGGAGGGGCTGTGGACTCCCTCAGGGATAGAGAGGCCTTACAGAGGGATCTGGATAGACTCGAGAGCTGGGCAGTCACCGACCATATGAAATTTAACAAGAGCAAGTTCTGGATTCTCTGTCTGGGACAGGACAATCCTGGTTATATGCACCAAATGGGGAACAAAAGGCTGGGAAGCACCCCTGAGGAAAATTCATCTGGATGTTTGGGTTGACAGCAAGTTGAACCTCGGTCCACAGTGTGACCTTGCAGCCACAAGGGACAGTTGTGCCCTGAGGGGTATCAACCAGCGCTACAGACTGGAGGAGGAGTGGCTGGAGAGTGGCCCAGCAGAGAGGGACCTGGGAGTGCTGGTTGATAACTGGTTGAACATGAGCCAGCTGTGTGCCCAGGTGGCCCAGAAAGCCAATGGCATCCTGGCTTGTATCAGGAACAGTGTGGCCAGCAGGAGTAGGGATGTGATTCTGCCCCTGAGCTCAGCACTGATGAGGCCTCCCCTCGAGCCCCTCGAGGGCTGGGCCTCTCCCTGCAAAAAAGACCTTGAGGGAGTGGAGCGGGTCCAGAGGAAAGCAACGAGGCTGGGGAAGGGACTGGAGGGAAAGTCCTGTGAGGAGAGGCTGAGGGAGCTGGGGGTGTTTAGCCTGGAGAAGAGGAGACTCAGGGGGGACCTTATCACTCTCTACAACTGCCTGAAGGGAGAGTGTATTCAGGTGGGGGTCAGGCTCTTCTGGGCAACCAGTGACAGGACAAGAGGCCATGGACTGAAGCTGCATCAGGGGAGGGTTAGGTGGGATATCCAGAAGGATCTCAGGAAGCATTTTCTCACGGAGAGGTCGATCAGGCACTGGGATGCACTGCCCAGGGAAGTGGTGGAGTCACGGTCCCTGGAGGTGTTTAAGGAGAGGCCGGATGTGGCACTTAGTGCCCTGGTCTGGCCCATGTGGTGGTGTTGGGTCATAGGCTGGATTTGATGATCTCAGAGGTCTTTTCCAACCTCAACAATTCCGTGATTCTGTGAAGCACAGCTAGCCAGTGGAAGGAAGTGACTGTCCCACCCTACACTGCACTAGTGTGGCCCCACCTCAAGTGGTTTAGGACGCCTCAATATAGGAAGGACTTCATACTATCTGAGTCTGTGCAACCTTTTACTTCCCAGCACCTGCAACATGGCACACAAGATCTAGCAGTGGCCTTGGTTGTTACAGGAGCAAGTGCAAACAAGGGCCTTTCTGCATACCAATCTCTTGCAGAACCATAAACATCAGGCCTTATCACTTCTGGAAGCAGACACTGTCTGCAAAAACATGTTGATAACTTCACAAAGTGCAGCTTCTTAGAAGAAAGTTAGCTGAAAAGTAAAATCACTGAACAGAATTCTGTTCTGTTTTGCTCAAACCAGAACAATTAGGCACAATCTTTTTAATTGCATCATTCATCTCAGCAAGGCCATTTTTATTAGTCATAGGAATAAATTAGATTTGCAAATTGCTCTTTTAAAGAAAAAAAAACCTGAATTTTTTTCTTTTAATTCTGATAGGAAATAGTTCTGGTTGTGTTTTTTGGTGCTGAATACGTGGTTCGACTATGGTCTGCAGGCTGCAGGAGTAAGTATGTTGGCTTCCAGGGAAGAATACGGTTTGCCAGAAAGCCAATATCAATTATCGGTAAGATTTAAACTTTTTTTTCCTTAAATTTCCTATTATAATCCTTTTTAAAGAAAAGATATGTCGTTTCAGAGATTGTGTTGCAATTCTGAGTCGTGTCTATCACTAAAGCATTTATCTGTTTTGTGAACCTATGCAATTATTTCTTCTTTTGGATTGCTAGAACTGAACGTTTAATGTACAGCTGTGAGATACAGGCAGACATCAGCTTAAGAAAGGAAATACTATAAAGAAATCTTTACTAAATCTATTTGTGTAATTGGAGAATATTGACAAGATTTTGAACACAAAATCCTTCCTTAGGTCTGCTGTAGAAAGCAAACACAAAGGTGAGTATAAATTGAGAAAAACATGGAAATGTGCAAAGTGTAACTCAGGAAAAACTCCCCTGGGTAGTACTAAAGTTAGGCAGTTTCAAATGATTTGAGGGACAACTGCAGGTGGCACCTCTAGAGTAAGAGAGATTTTAAGGGGAGAGGTGACTAAAAGAACCTGTGGAACAGTGAGGGATTAATACAAGGTGACATTCAAACAGAATTTAGTAGACCGTAAAATCAGTGTTTCTGTTTGAAGCTTGTGATTTTATAGAAACTCCAGTAGAGCTGCGAATTTTACATTACTCAAACATCAACTTATTGAGTTTTAAATAGAGCAAAGTGGGAGAGAGGTAAAGAAGTGAGAGAATGAGCTGATGTTTCTTAACCATCGGTGGCTTTATGAAACTCGGTGCAAAAGGTCAGGAAACAAAGCATTCTATTATACACGTACGTGTGGCTCATGAATAACGCGATGAGATGCTGTACTCAGTTTTGGGATCTTGTGAGAAAGAAGTGTTTCATTACATACAAACAAATCGTTCAGCTGCTTCCAGAGCTGATCTGATTTCATGAGCTAACCATGAAGCCTATAGGTAACATTCTTTATCCTGAGCATGTTCTTGACTTCTCTTTCAGTTAAGAAATGCTTCTTAGGGATGTATATTGGAGTGCACAGGTACAGGAGAACACACAGCAGTCCCATTAAACCGTGCTTTCAACTTGATAGTGGTTCTGTATACTGGTATTGTGCATCTACCACAGTAAACGTTAATGTTTACATAGCCCTTGGAGAAGATACGGTGGTTTGTGTTACGAAAAGCTAAGAATGACTACAGGTGCTTTTGCATTCCAAGCTATCAGTGCTATTTTTACATGTAAAATTTCCCAAAGAATACAAAACATTTAAAGGCAAGTTTGGAACTTTTTTTTTTTTTGCATTTATACAAAAGCCTTAATTTTAAAATCAGAAAATATAGTTAAAATGTCTTTGAAATTAGAGATATTTTTAAATGAGTTTTTATCCACACTGAAATATGGATTAATTCTTAGAAAGTTCAGCTTGGCTAGCAATTTTGAACTTCTTCAATTTGTCCCATTCTCTTTCCTTTTCACCCCTCTCTAATTCTAAATAAAAATTATCTTGGTTCTTATTAACAGAAAGAGATTTGGTAGTCAAGCCCAGTTATTACTTTCTTTTACAAACTTGTTTAGTATTATTGAATTCCATGCTACATAAAATAGTATATTAACATGCAACCTCTAATAGTGTATTAATATGCAACCTCTGGGAAAGGAAAATGTTGAGATAGGACACACTGTTTCTTGAATGGTCTTTTAAAATTTTATCTAGAGTGCAAAATAATGTAACTTGTCTCCCTCCTAAATACTTTTTTTTGTTTCTTAGGTAGATTTTCTGAAGTTTCCCTAATTTTTCTCCTCTTTGCAGACACATTATAGGTGATTACATTTAAGTGAGAAAAGACATTTCTATAATTACAGAAACTGTCAGGAGAGATAGATTGATTTGATTCGAAGTATACCAAGAAACCCTGGAAAAATCATTTTATCTCTCCATGTTTCTTCATTCTGTGGTTCACAGAATGAGCATTTTTAAGGAGTATGTGATGCTAGTGTACTACAGCAGCAGCAGTAATAACAATACCTTTCCTAAATGTTGATTTAACACTTTCATTACTTGATATTAAAGTAGGGTTAGATTAGGAGCTAAATGCTTCTGTTAATTTCAGCCTAATTAGAATTTTATGAAGGGCAGATATGCAGCACAGGAAAAATCAAGAGAATGTCTTTTCACAACCTCTTTTTTCCTTTTGTTTTCATTTCAAAAAGCGTCACAAAGAGCTAGTTTTGAATTAAGTTTTGTGCCTCCTGGTTTTGACAGCATGCAGTTTGAAGGGTGTAAGGGGGACATAAGTTACTGGTAAAAAGACCTGAGTCCATATGTCTGTGTCCATCTCATACTGTGCTTAAGCAAAGGGCAACAGGATTTTATTTATGAGCATCTTTAATTGTTTATGTGTACAGCTATAAAAAAGCATCAGCACTTGGTATGTAAGGCTTCAGTTACTTTATATAAACCTAATTTATGAAGTGCCAACAGAACAAAAAAGTTCAGCAAAAAAATAATGTGATGTAAATATAATTCAAATATATGCATATAATCTGTTTAATTAAGTCCTTATGGATGCCACACTATCTCCAGACTACTAAAAACACACCTGCAAGCTGAGGGCTATCTAGCTTATGCAAAATACTGCAGCAACTAAAAATAAAAACAATGCATCTATTTTTACTGTTTTAAATTTAAAAAGGATTAATTGCTTTCAATCAAAAAGGTGAGAATTCCATACTAGAAAGTAAACTACTGAGAATATTAGATAGAAGTCAGCAATTTTCTCAAAAAAAACAATACTCAGCTAAGCTGCATGAGTAGTGTTACTGTCTGCTGTGCTGAAGTTTAGGGTTAACTGAGCGGTATTTCATTGACTGACTTTTTAGAAAAAAATGGCAGCTGTTATGATTTCTCAGTTATTCAGAACATAAGAGTAAACCACAGAGACAGTGGACTAGCAGTGGATGAAGCTTTCAAAGCTGTACTACACATGCTAAACTTCAGGGCATGTGAATTATGTAGGTCTCTCATCTGCATGTACTGTGCACATATTACATAGAAGTTGCTATGTCATTTTTGTCTCTACGCCTTGTGTATACACAGACATGTTTGTGAACGTGTAAGTAAGTAGAATGAGAAGGATATCCACATATTGCTGTCTATAAATTACTGGAATTCAACTTATAAAATTGTCAAGGCTTCCTGACACTTTTTTCTTTAAAAACTAACATAAATACCAGTCTCATGCTAATCTAAATACTGATCTTTGTTAGAGCTGAAAAGTTATTTAAACAAATGTTAGCTCTTTATCCTGATATTTTCCACGCCAAGTGTCTGCTTCAGTTTGAGTCTGGTGGAGGCACTTCATGCAAAATGTTTAAGGAAAAATGAAATATCTCTACCGTGTAGAACACACTTTCAGAAAAGTGGAAAGTAAAAATGAAAAATCTATGTTACTGTCACTACCTGATTGAAACTCACTTCCCAAATATCACATCAGTGCCAGTCATAGGACGGATATGTGTATGTCTGATAATTTCATAAGGACATAAAGTGCATCATTTGCTTAAGGACAAGGATCGGCATTATGATGTGAAGGGCGGAAAACCCTCCCTGAATTCTGAGTGTTTACAGATATATGTTCACACACATACATGACATATAAACAGCATAAATAATTTGGAAGCTCAGATACTCAAAAGTTAAGATTATCCCAATACGGAAGCTCTTTCTGTAGCCTTCTCTCTCCCTATAGTAATTTTCAGAATTATACATTTATTTTAGTACAATCTTTAAACTGATTGAGTGCTATCCCCTGGGGAGAAATCCTGGATTTAGAGCAAAAATCAGTCTGATACTGGAAATTAATCCAAGTCAGAGAGCAAAGAATACTGTTGGTTGTAGAATTGCTGCAATATTTGTTGCAGCAACTACAGTGTTGTGAACGAGGCAGGAGAATTTTTAAAGGAGAGGGAAAATAGTTACCCTTGATGAAGGCATCTATTGTTGCCTCTGAAGTTGGATTCTGTCCTGCATCTTGCCTAGGCATCACACGGAAACTCTCTTGTAGTCATTTAAATCAGTTTTCACAAGTGTGCCTCATTTTCTGGATGTCCAAATGAAGACTTTGAAGTCAGGTTACAGAGGTTCTGAGCTCTCACAGCTGCAAGTGAAGTCAGCAGGCACTGTTTTATTTGAAGTGCAATGTAACGTCAAGTGCTCTGAAGAATAAAGTACTGCCTGTTTAAAACTGCCGAGGAAAATTTACCGAAACTTTTCCTCATTCTGTCTACATTTGCTACAGATTTATAATACTATCCTTTATTTTCTGGTTAGAATTTAAAAGTGAAGTCTTTGATGCTCTAAAGAGGATTACCACCAAAGTGCCCATGAGGAAATTAGAAAACAGTCTTCTCAGAATAATGTTAGAGTATGGTTCAATAATTGAAAGCAATAGACCTATTCATTGGACTAGGATAAGAGAAAATAAAGGATGCTGGCACTGTGAACACAATCCATCATTTGTGTTGTGTAATGCTGGAACTGTGTAAACTGTTGAAAAAAGTTGTGGAAAAAATGGTACTCTGGAAATAATTACTTTTTCATACAATTAAAGACTATCACAAAGCAAACCAACAATCCTGATTCTTTTTTTTAGGCAACCTTTGTTTTGACAGTTCCCTAAACTTTGAAAGCTTGGCTTTACAGCTTTAACACAATTTTTAAACTAAGCATATGTGTGTGAATTGTGCATATGGTACTTGACTTTATGCATTTTGTTATTGATTGAAGAAAACTCTTGCTTTCCCTCTTAAATCAAGAGCCTTGAGCCAAAACATGGATTCATTTCTAGGGTGTACATATTTTCTTGGGTTTGTGGCAAGTTGCCTGATTCGTCAGGATCTTTAAAATTTCCATTATTAAATTCATCACGGAAGGAATTATTGTCATTGTTTTTCTGATATGAAACTATTACCTTAACTTGCTGCCCACCAAATTTCAGCTAACTTACTTAATTTCTTTTTAAAAAATTCTTTCCTCAGTCTGTATTTGTTACGTGTTCCAATGCCGAGAGCTAATATCTAATGCTTTTTTTTCTTTTTTTTACACAGATCTAATTGTAGTATTAGCCTCAATTATTGTTCTGAGCATAGGATCTAATGGACAGGTGTTTGCTACCTCTGCAATAAGGTACGTTCTTCTCATGACTATAGCTCTTCAAAAACACAGATGTTATATTTATATCTAATTCCACAATTTTCAGATTAGATGTATACGTAGTTTTCCTAATATAGGAGAAGTTATTGTATTGAAACACTGGACAGTGGAAGACTGTGTGTTATTGTACTTGGTCACTGATTGAGAAACAAGAGTGTAGAAACAAGATATATGAAGAATGGTGTGAATGCTGTAGCCAAGAGGAAAAAGCTAAAGAAACATTATGTCCTATATTAAACATCAAACAGCTCTCTTTCTGAGACAAAAGAGTATTACAGAACATTGGTTTATTTAAGAAGTAATCCATACAGCACTTAACTAGGTACTTTTTGAGAATGAATAATTACTTTGTTTAAAGAGTAATTATGTTTTGGTGGATTTGTTTGGCATAAGTAACTCGTACCATACATGAACCAGAAATATATGATGTCTACAGTGTTTGTTCAGCTTGCATCAAGTACTGCAAGCTCTTTTTGGGAAGTAAAGTGGGTAAACAGAGGAAAGGAATGATAAGCAGAGTAGGTGCACTTCCCACTCCTTCTAACTTAACTTGCAAGATATGCTACCTGTTCTGTTACAAGCCTCTGTCACAACTGTCTCGTTGTGATAGACAATCACTGGAGGGAGCTACATGTTTAAAGTATTTTTAAGGTAACTATTACCATAGAACATTAATCCTTGCGTGACGATAAAGACTCACACAGGTGCCATGAATGTGATTTATCAGATCATACAGCTGAAGAGAAAGGTGAATGTGAACATTCCAAAGATTTTGTTTAACTAGAAGTGTAGGAAGGATTTTAATGAAAAGGCTTGCACTGTGTTTATAGGTGAAGCCAGGTGGCTTTGGGCTCAGTGCAGCCTTTCTTATGTTAAAATATTGAATCACTGTCCTACCACTGAGAATGCATTCTGCCAGAGAAGCTTAACCCACATCTCTGCAGTGTTACTGATGCCCCACTGAAAAACTATCTGAGTCAGGCAAGTCTGAGTCCCATCAAGTTTCCTCAGAACTGTGATGTGGGTGGCTGTTTTTGAATTAAGGAGTGAATCTCACTCATATCCTTGCCTTTGCAGTAGTTATTTTTAAGGTATACTGTTCTGGTCTGCTTTGGACCTCCCTTTAATCCCAGCAATCCCAGAAAACGTGGGTGCATGCGTGTTAGATTATTTTCTTGTAGAATGAAGTTGCAAGCTCCAGAACGACAAGGTATGACAGGCTGACATTTTGATCCCTGCAGCAACCAGTGTGACTGAAACCTAGTAGCACTGCAGGGTTCACAGTCGAGTCTTACATCCTTCTGTCCTTACTGTTTTAAGCAAATTGATAAAAATTATCTTCTTTCCAACCAATCTCTTTTCCCTTTTAAGAGGAAATGGGTTGTGCAGTTGGAGTTTCTTGTTCGCTATCTTGTTTTATAAATCTTCATTTGTAAAAATTGCCAGCCTACAACAGGCATGACAGTGCTTGGCACTAACATAGCCATAACTACCTCAGATAAAGCAGAGGCAGGAAAATCAACAACTGCCATTAGGTCAGGGCATCAAGAGGTGTGTCTAATAACTGTACAAGGGAGCTACATGTATGTCTCTCCCATCCTGATATAAATAACTGATAATCTATTACATCGTGTAAGTCTATTTGTGCTCACATATATGATACTCTTGTCATTCTTCTTGAACTCATGTTTTAATTAACAAGTTTTAAGTGGATATTTTAAAGCTTGCAGCTGACTAAAATTATTATTGCTCTAGCATATCAAAGAAATAACAAAACATGTTCCTGTACCCAGTCACTCATACAGGATTTGATAGGATTATTTTGTGCTTTCCAAAAAAAAATGACAAGCATTTGATTGTTTGTCAGCTGTGGAAGCTCAGAAAACCTGCTTTCTGGTTAAAGGAAAAGTTGGCTCTTTCAGAAGAAAGGATGCTTTCCCAGTCTGAGTAACACCAGTGACTGAAGGATGCACCATGCTGTTTCCTCCCTCTTAGTGTAACCCAGGAAAATGCAGCCACAGCCAAACCAAAGTAAAAAGATTGAGTTAAAAAAACCCCAAAACCCAAAAAGAGCAGCAGCAACATTTTAAGGGTAGCTAGAAAGAACTAATAATACTTGTAGTTAAAAATTTTCAGATAGATTAATTCAACATTCATAATTTTTGCTCTTCAATATTTTATTTCAGTGATAAGACACTAAGATGAATGTGGGCAAACAAAGCTCATTGTTGAACTGGTGACTAGAATGAAATATTCCATTTAATAAAATTCTGCTGAAGAACCATATGGATACTGATTTTTCTTTAATTGATGATATTTGGTGTGTAAGTTATTATCCTAAAATCACATTTTATCTATTCTCAGTTAGATGATTTCTATAAATTACACAAAAAGGACTTCAGTAATACCATCTTTGGTTTACATTCTGCTTTTGGCAAATGGAGAAAAAGTTTGCTCCTACTTATGTTAGCAAAACTTGAAGCAGTGTTTTTATTTGGAAAGGAAGAATTTGAGAATCATAATCAAGTAAAATATGCAAGGTTCCTCTGAGTCTGAAAGCACATATTTTAGACTTTTTAAAATCTTTTTGTTTAACTAATTGCCATCCTAGGCAGTATTTCTGAATATATTTGAATATAATGAAACGTGATCTAAACATACTGTCTACTGAGATGCATCAAGTCTAAGATGCAATCCTAGCCAGGGGCAATGCTATCACAGTTCTCTAGTATAGCAGTATGTTAGTGAATGTAGTCAACTGTATATAGTTAGAGCAGTATTGTTCGCAATCATTAATTTTATTTAATGTCTTATTTTTCTTACAGGGGAATACGGTTTCTCCAGATACTTCGCATGCTTCATGTAGATCGACAGGGTGGCACCTGGCGACTGTTAGGATCGGTTGTTTTCATACATCGTCAGGTATTAGATCTTTAGAGATCCCCACCATTTTGTTTACTTCACTATATTCTTTTCGTAAACTTCAAACTATAGACTTGTTTAAATGACCAGTTACTGTAGCAAGAGAGAAAATAGTTTAGAAGTCTATCAAGTTTCTTTCTACTTTTAAAATGGGAACACTATTCTTAACTTAGGTCAGTAGCTAACAGAGTATCAGCATCAGTATCATTTTTTAAATTAACTGCTGTACTCTTTGGTGTTATGTAATTTAATAAATGCACTTGAGTGGGCCACTTTTCATATTGCAAATACTGCCCACTGTCTTCATAGATGTATTCCTAGCTCGGTTGTTCTGTGGAAAGACAAATACAAGCAGAAAAGCCTTGATAGAACAAGTCAATTATTTAAATTATTCTGGTTTTACTGCCTGAATAAGGAGTTTTCTAATTCATTCTATACATAAAAGTACTAATTCTATTATGATAGTATGCAAATAAATCTACTTTTTCAAGAGAGCATTCACAGAGGTGAATTTGGCTGTTAATAGTTGTATATGCCTTAAAGCTTTGAAACACATACTGTGTGTGAAAGCTCGTTACTCAGGAAGAGCTTAAATGCTTAGTGCAGACTTAAAAAAAATTATAGATGAAGGCTTCTTTTTGGGGCTTCATGAAATCTCTTGATGAAAAGTTGACTTAGCTTTATGAGCATAATAAACTTTAGCCTTTAAACCTTGCTTGTCATACCATACTGTGGAGGGCTAATACTGTGCTATGAATCTTTACATCAGACTTGTAAGGGTGGTTCTTTAATCTACTTTTTATGAGTGGAGATTTGCTCTCCAGATACTGACAAATAGATATTTCCGTGTAGACATTTATTTGCTATTTAGAAAACTCATGTTCTGAGGCAGAGAATGGGTGATACTTAGTCCAAAAGATTAATCTAATACTAAAAGCCACTTTTCTTCCCTTTACTTTTTCCCCTAGTAGTGTAGGAAATTTTATGTCACGGTGGCTGTGCAGCATTGAGGCACACTAAGGTGCTCTAGGATAAAGCCTGCTTTGATCCTGTGCAGCAGGATGACTTTAATACTCTGAGTCTGTGTGGTCTTCATTTACTATGGTTGCATTGCCTATCTACTTATGGCAGAGCTTATATCCAAGTACATTTCCTCAACATTTGCTAACCTTACTGACAGAGGTGTTTGAGAGAAGTTGTTCCTGTGGGTGTTCAGTGTTTTAGTCAAAAATTTGGAAATACGATCTCCAAAATACAACACTTAAGTCTTAAATACCACAAACATAAATAAGTTCAATGATTTAAAAGGAAAAAAAATACCCTTGGAGAAGGGAATTTGTAAATAAACGCACCTGAAATTCTGCTAATCCAAAGAAGTGATTATGATGATACATAAAACTCTACAGATCTGTAGTGCCTGTCAAAGCAGATCACCCACTAACACATTAATAAAAACAAAAAAACGCACCAAACCCCACACAGTTCTGTATTGACATTGGACAAATGTAGCTGAAACCCTAGCATGGCACTGAACGGAAGGGAAAATGGAACCTTTATTCCTGTCCAGTCTCTTAAATAAATGTTTGTTTAAAAAAGAAAAAACCCAAACAAAAACACCTCAGCTGATTTTTCTTTACAGGCAGAGTACAAGGTCCTGATTTATCTGTTGAGTTTGGTACTCTTTCAGGAAAAAATGGGACCCTAAACCCTTAAACAATGTGAGAAAATAAATTCATGTCTTTGTGACCTGTGAAAATAGCAAGCACTTGGATCTCTGTGGCCCAGAAGAGCTTACTAAATTTGTCACCAATGATTTCCATGTGTTTTGGAATTTTGCATATAGCTGTATTAGCTCACTCAGGCCTGATTTGGCTAGGATGTTCTTCTATTTTCAGCAGGTTGAGCTTATACAAGCATTTCTTGCCAAAAGCAACAAAACATGAGTTAATATCACATGTGATGATGGAAAGACATGGAAAAATCATGCAACTTACTGAAAAACTGAGTTAGCCAACCCAGCTCCAGCTTGTAAGCCTCTCAATTAGTTTTACTTATGCCTTACCTTGCTTTGTGAGGTCTTCTACTGCTTTGAGGAGGGAGTTCTGATGAGTTGTGAATTTGGGATTTTCCGGTATTTTTCCTAAGCATTGAATTTTGTATTGTGTTGTCCTTATCATAACTGAAAATACAAATATCTGAGTTGAAAAAATGTGTTGACTCAAGTCTCTCAATACTCAAATTTAGCTTTGTGCGTATTTGTTTTTTGTTCTTGCTGTTTGCTTTGCATATACATATCTGAAAGTCCCCAATGAAAAGTAATTTGTATTAGGCAGCACTTTTTATTCTTAAGCTCGTCTATTAAAAAAATCATATAAACGTAAAGTTTTAAGACCTGATTCCTGCAAAATGCACTTCGCTTTCAGAACATGTATCAGTTCATACTGTTTGTCATTGGTAGGCACCAGTCTATCCATATGTCTTGAAGCATGTATTATTTATCTGCCCTCTCTCTTAAATGCAGTATGCAGTATATTGCTGCCATTTCTCTTAAGAATTAAATATTAGCATGTAGTCTCTCTATACATATATAACAGGGAATAACATTTAGAATAAGTCTAAGTCATTACATTTTCATCTGTGCATTATGTGAGTTCAGTCTTTAGATGAATAGGACTGGAGCAGAGAGCTACCAATGGTGAAATAAGCTGAGCAGTTCTGTTAATTTTGTTAATATTTCAACCACTTTAAAAGGAATTCATAAGACTATGCAGAGCACTTCTGAAAAGTGTATCTTTCTGCCTGCTTCTCAAAAAGTCAACACTGAACGTGGAATTATTCCAGTTAACATCCACTCTCTAATTCTGTCCTCTGAGACTAAATCAAAAGAAAGCAGTGATGGCCATTCCTCGATAATGTGTAAAATCTGTTAATATCTGAGGTGTAAGCAACATGCCTAGTGTAACTAAAATATTTCTATTGATGTGGAAGGAAGTTACAAATCTACTAGAGATAAAAGCAGAGTGTTTCCTTTGTAAGCAGGCAACAAGAATTCGTCTCCATTTCTGTTGTAGTTTTTATGGATCACTGAACTTACAGTGTCAGGTGTCAGTTTTATCTTGCAGTGAAAAAACAATGTGTAGGCAAACCAAAAAGTTGGAAGAAATGCAAATAATCAACTATAAATGTAAATGCAAGGAATGTTTCAGAGCAATGAAGTCATATCTACATCTACACGATGTATCGTTACCATTAGAGAAAAAGTTGAGAAGAGAATGGTGACCAGCATAGAAATCCGAACTATTGAAATCTCGTTTTATTTCCTCTTTCAGCTGCCTTGTTTAGCAGACATGCCTGCAAAAAGTTAAGGATTAGATTAAAAGCCTTACCTGTGGGCAAAATTGAATATTAGAAAAATTTGTTATTTAAGTCATTAGTTAATGATTATATTAAAAAAAACACCTACTTTGCTTTGTTCCAAGATTGCTTAAAAACTTGCAGAACCTGAATTTTAATTAGTGCTGTAGCAGAAGGAAGAGTATATGGAGTTCCTGATGTTGAATGCACTTGCTAACTATCAGGGCTACATTTTCCTAGAAAGCTCTTATAAGGAAATGAAAAGAAAGAAATGAAAAAAAAAATCTGAATGAAGTTTGATGGTAAAACCTGAACCTTCCATCACAAACAGTTTAAGAAACATGGGTAGTGTTACAAAAATATCCAATGTACTTTATAAGTTGAGGCAATCTTTCTTAGGCAGGTTTTTATATTAAATCTATGTTATGGGACTATTTTAATTCCCATATTGGTTTGGATCCAAGGAAATAAAAGTAACTCTGTCAGTAATTTAAGCAAGATGCCAATGAAGATGTAGCAAGACTATGTTTCAAAATAAAAGTAGCTAAAAATGTGCAAAGAAAATAAAGGAATAATATGTATTAACTATTGAAGCATTGTAAACTTTAAGTAATTAAAATAAACTGTTTTCCCTCATAACTAGGCATTGGATTTTCCTGAGGAATAGGTGAATATGTCATTTGATTATGATGTACCATTGCTTTTATAAGCTTTACACATTTTTGCATCTGTGACACCACACATTTTGGCTTGTTTAAATACACAAGGACATTTTTCTTGAAGACTATAGCAATCTTGTATCTAAGTCACATCCATTCTGATACAACTTTCCTATCAAAAATCCTGTAGACAAGCTGGTACCTTCGCAAGAACTGTATCCTGCCCTAACAAAAGTTCCTTCTAATAAAGTGCCTAGCCTTAAACAGTCTTTGTATTTCAGGGGTGAAGCGCAGGTTACACCTACCTGACATATTTTATCTTAAGATTTTATTTTATCTTCACATGTAACTGTTAAGGCATCAATATTCAGTCTTAAGCAATCTAAATATAAGATACACAAGTTTCTTGCTTAGATATGGTCATAATCACAAGACACAGTTGTTATTTTGTAACTGTTATTTTATTGTACTGTTCATAATGTGCGTTTCTAAAGCTGTTTTACTATATTTAAAATGTATTAACATTTAGTATTTTGAGTGTAAATTTAAATGGAATAGAATCATAGAATCATACAATCACTTCGGTTGGAAAAGTCTTTTAAGATCATTGTCCAACCATTAACACTGCCAAGCCCCGCACTAAACCATATTCCTAAGCATCTCAACTGCACATCTTTTAAATGATTCCCTTTCACAAGACATAAAACAGGAGAAATGTCCCAACCAACATTTAGCTGTCAAGATGATCTTGTATACATGATGGCTTCATGAATTCTTTAGTCTGATATAAATAGAAACCAAGTCACTGAACTACCTGTTTTATTGGAAGTGAATTTCACACCTGAAATATAACTTACTAATTTTTCTACCATGATGCAAAATACCCCCAGTTATTTACAATGTTTTACAATGATAGAATATACATGATGTAACCCTTTTTTGCTTTCTCTTTTAATAGGAACTCATAACCACATTATACATTGGATTCTTGGGATTAATTTTTTCATCCTATTTTGTTTATCTTGCTGAGAAGGATGCAGTCGATGAGGATGGAAAGACAGGTTTCTCCAGCTACGCTGATGCCCTTTGGTGGGGTGTGGTAAGTCTTTACCAAAATACTGTGTGTGCAAACTTAATGCACAAGATTTTCTGTTGAAGTTGTGACCTTTTCAAAAAATCTGTCATTTCTTTCTTCACAGAACATTTTTTTTTATAGTGAAGCTTGACAACCTTATAAAAATATACAAAAAATTAAATGCATTTAAATTATTTTGGTATTAAACCTTCTTGGGAAAGCATGATATCAGGTCATTAGCAAAGGACATCAAATGTTTACAAATACAGAAGTCCACATTTAAATCCACATTTCATAAAGTGTATAAACACCTTTCCAAAGCTGTAACACTTCTTTTAAATTCTACTTAGTTACCTGCAAAAGGTACATAACTTTAAAAGTATATTCTGTTTGTGGAATTTGGATTAATGACTCTTAATTTTTTGGATCTTTCTGTGTAAAGCTCACTCAGTAATAATGCAGACCATGATGAAGGTTACAGGTTCCTGGCTTTTTTCAATAATTCCATGAGGCACAGTAAATTAAAAGCTCCATTAAAAGCAGCTGGCAAAACTTCACAGATTCACTGACTACTTTGGGGTCAGTGTAAGACCTTTTGTGAAATAAAGAAAAAAATATTATTAAGAGGAAAACTGGGATTTTGAGAGCATTGTGATAATTATTGTATGCATGCCCAGAATCAGCTGAAAAATGAGTAGACAGCTATGAACAGAGTAAGAGACCAGATTTTTTTCTACACACCCTTCATATGCCTCTTCTCGTCATGTTTCTCACTGTGACTCATTCTTTCCTTCCTTATTAGCTGCTGCACGAACCACCTCTTCTCTTGTAGTCTCATCTCCCCATCAGAGAACCTCATATATTTTATGAGCTGACTGTCTCTTTATAACAAACCCAGGGAAAATCCATGACATCGGTACCAGTGACAGAGAAAAATGAGGGGACTAGAACGGATGCAAAGTCACCAACTTCCAGAGAGAGAAGGATACATTTTGACAGTGATTTGAAACACAGTAAACTGGACTTGTTCTTAGATAAGAGATTTGAAAAGTGCCAATATGGTTATTGGGCCATAAACCAATTCTTCGTCTGCATCCAAATAAACTAGTAAGTCTGGGGAGGCAGATAAAAAGTTCCTAATACATGTATGTTTCTAATCCTTAAATTAAGCCTCTACTTCAATGAAGTATATAGAAATGTAAATTATATTATATGTAGCCTGAGTTACCACTTTTTAAGTGTTTCTATATGAAAATCTTTTAAACATTAAATTCCTGTCATTAAGTTGTCAGGTATTCATTTCATTTATAGAGTATCACCTATGACTGTGCAAAACACTAAAAACCAAGAAGAATCTAGTAAAAAAGAAAAATCCATTAAATGGCCAGATGGACTTGATTATTTAGTATGCTGTAAAGAAATGAAACTGTGGTCTAGCCCATACAACAATCACTTGTTAAAGTCCTCAATAGACAGATTATAAAGTTTTCAGAAGATAAAACCTCATGGTTTTATTTGAGGAAATATATGAAATAACATCTGGCTAGTAGAGGGGAAAAAAAATATCCCAGAAGCACAGACTGTGCTGTTTTAAAAGCAAAAGTAAAACAATTAGGGTGTAATTGAAGTTATGAAAGATACCCCATGTGTACTTTAAGAAAACAAACCACTATGCAGGCTCACTTATTCTGCTATTACTTGAGTAGTTCAGCTCAAATACCTGTGTTCAAACGACTGAATGCACTGGAACGCAGCTACTGTTTCTGCTTTTACTAATGGTCTAGCTGAGTACTCTGTGAAGTACATCTAATTAAAAGCTGGGATGCTTGTGGGAAGTTCAGCAGAGTTAGAGGCTCCCATACAAGTTTGTGCCAGTTTTGCTAAATCCATAAGAAATATCTCATATATTTTTCTAGCATAGTGAAGTTCCAAAGAGGTTTGTAGTACCATGTGCAATAGAATGACACCAGTGAAAGAAATGGAAAGCATATAGTTTGCTAATAAGGAGGTCTTAATTTAATATGTAATCACTAAAGGATGGTAGTTCAAGTTTGCTCTGCACAGTGTCCTTGGTGTCTCATAAAGTAATTCGTAGGTCTGTAAATGCAAAAGGTCAGAAATAATCAAATTCAGAACTGAATGGGAAGGAAGAAGAACCACTTATCCAACTGAGGGGAGCAAGGTACAGTGGAATACAAAAAAAAAAAACAACACCAAACACTTTTCAGCAATCAGTTTGGGAACTGGGAACTATCTGTGTTTTTTAGCATCCAGTTCTGCCCATGTGTATTCGTTCATGGGTTATTCCTGCATGTAATAGAACTTTCATGTGAAGCCAGTGTACTTTTTCTACCTTACCGTATTTTAATTTTTTTTAGCTCTAATTATCCAGGCTTGTTTTGAGTAAAGAGTAAAGAACTAAGGTCAAAAAAGTCAGAATGTGTTCATACGAGCATATTTTATTAATATTTTGGACTTAAGGAATTTAAAAGCAGTTCATTTTTGCAGACTATCAGATGAGTTTAAAATGTGCATTTCTTTACCTTTTTGAGATAGTTGACATGGAATCTGTCTTTCAAAGGGTATGTATATGCCTTGTAAAGTGTTCAATGGGTTTTGTTGTTGTTTTCCAAAACTTAACTTGTTTTGTGTAGCAGCAAGATAAAATCAGCTTTGTCTTTCTCTAGCTGTGCGAGGCACACGAAGAACACTGTCTAAATTGTTGTTTAAGCTTTTCAGAGGTCTAGGCCTTCTCAGCATTAGTGAGTCACGGTGCAGGTGCAGTTCACAGCTGGGAACAGTGACAAAGGACAAAGTGAATCAGCTTCTTTTTCTTTTCAAATCTTCTGTAACACAGAAACACAGATGTGGAGTTACTAGGGAGTGAAATTTGATTTCACTTTTGCCTTTCAAAGCTGAACCACAGGAAAAAAAAATCTTTGTAGCAAGTATTTGAAAGTCTTATGTGTCTGACAAAAACCACAGAATGTATTATGGGTAACGTTTTGCTCTGAGTAGAAAGTGCAAGCTTGCGGAACTTGATACAAATGACCTGAAAGGTTTAAATATGAAGAAAAGGGAAAATAAAGAATGAATGAGAGTTGTAATTAAATGCTAACTGCATTCACCCACTCCAGTTAAATGCAAGGTTGTTTCACCTGGATTTGGCAGGCACACAGATTAAACTGCAAAGAGATATCAAAGGCTTGTGGTATTTTATATGAAGCCACTTTCAGAAGTAAGGGCATGTTAGAACATGCATTTCCAACAGCACTGTCAGTCTGCCAGAATTGCAACCCATGTCACAGCAGTTTTTCTGTCCTTTCTGGGTATGTTTTCTTGAGGAAAGAAGAAAGGCATGTAGAAGGCTTCTCTTCCGTTGCCCTTCTGTACTTGTCTCTTGCTGTTGGTAATGCTTACTGGTTTTGCTGCAAACTGGACTATTCTGTACCATTGAACTGAAGTTAAATAGTCACTCCAGTAAACTGTAACTAACAGTAAACTGTTAGAGGTACTCATGATCAGTTGCTCAGAATTTCCAGTGGTATATTTCCATGCCAGAGTAGCTGCTTGAAACACTTTAATACTTTTTTTGAGGTATGCAGTTATGACTCTTCAAACTTCAGGACACCTTCCTATCTTAAAGCATGCAAGAAGCTCAATTGACTTCTACTGAATTAGAATTCTTCCTGTTTTGAAGTGTGCACATGTGTGTTCAGAGCCCGTGTTAGAGCATGGGCATACCAGCTGGAATGTGTCATAGCAAATCTGAGTTATGAAGGAGGTGCTGTTTTCCAAAGCCTAGTTATTAAACATTGTCTGAGCGGATAAATAATAACTTTTGGATATACTAGTAGAAAAATATTTTTGGTGTGATAAAGAAAGCCAGAGAGTTACATTATTTATAATCCTTTCCACATACTTCAATGCACTAATTAGATTACCAAGAAGAAGCCCTCTTAGGGTAGCCAGGGAGAAACTTTTGAGACATGTTCAGACACCTGCAGGAATCTGCCAGCCAAATGCCTGCTGTGGAGATGGAAAATCGTCTTTTCTGTGGTTACAGCTTTCATGCTGTCTTCCATAGTAACACTAAGGCAGCTCAACATTACTGCAGTTTGTTTTTAAGTCCTGAGTGCTGGAGAACTCAAAAAAAACCCCAACCCAACTCCCAAAAAATAACCACAAAAAACCAAGAAGCCTTTCATAAGAAAAAAGAGAGGAAAAGGAAGGAAAAGTCACAGACTTTAAGAGGTCATCTGGGTGCACTGAGGAGCTCAAGTGCTGTTAAAGAAACACTGCTTTATCTTCCTCCACTCCCCACTAACACATACTGTATTTCAAAGCTGAATTTTGGGGGGTCTGGTTTAATTTTGGGGGCTGGCAAACTCATCTGTTTGTACTGCTGGTAGTCCACAGCACCTGAGTCACTTTATGGGCAAGCTGCATTAAATCTGGACAAACATCTGGCAGGGCAGAGCTGCTGCTGAGAGCAGTTTGCAGTTCAAAATAAGAATATTCATTAAAGGATACAGATACTACAAAGTTGACTTCATCAAGTGAGAAATTAATGATGAATAAACACAAAATTTTTTTTTCAACTTGGAAAAACTCAATTTGGTGGTAGCTGCTTATTTTTTCACACAAATCTTCCCTTCAGCTCTCTGTAGAACTACTCTGAGAGGAGGAATATATTCTTCCTGTGCCTTTATTGCCAATAGTTTCTTCTGAGAAACCTACTTTTGTATAATATTGAAGTATTTGTCAGCAACTTTTCCCATAAAAGGCAATATTTCCACATCCTCTTTTGTAGTCAGTGTAAATGTACGTATTCTTTTAAGTCCATTTTGGCTGTGTTTCTGCTACTATTCAAGGCAAAGTGAAGGGAATGGTACTGGGTTTATGGCTGGTGCTCCCAAACAGAAACACATTTTTTTCTATTTAAAGATTTCCCCAGTGGTTAGTATTGGTGATACAATTCTTCCTCTCCTTACCAGAAGCTTTCCACTTCTCAGGGATACAGGCTATCCTTCTCATACCATTTTGTGGCAGTGTCAGGGGTCAGTTTGCTAAAAGCCTTAATGACTCCAATCACACCTGGGACCCTCAGTCCAATGCCTCTATTTGGGTTCCATCCTGGGTGCTTATATCCTGCCTGCGCTGTGCTGGAGGAGAGCTGGTCAGCCATTGCCACTTTCTGTTGAGGAGCGGCTGGCCCTTGTTACACTACAAACCCTTCTGGTGGAGCAACCTTCACCTGGACGCTGATTCCCCCCACAGCACTGCTTCTTTATTGACCACCGGGCTCCTGATTCTCTTCCAGCCTGTTGGGGCTCATTGGGAACCGCCTAAAGTCTCTGTCCCACTTGGGCCCTCCTTGCCTCTACAGCTTTTCAGGGATATCCTGGCACACTCACAGTGATTTAATCCCTCTACAACAAGCCCCTAATGATCCCAAACCTGTGTGAGGATGTGCCTTTCTGAGAGAGAAGGCTGTTGTCACAGCCCTGAGGGCACTAATTAACCTAATGACCCCGATCAGCATCACCTGTGGCCTCCACCCACAGCCTTGGGCTCTATTAAGCTCAACACTCTGCTAGAAGAGGGATCATTTCTAACGTGACTGCAGTGATGCCTGGCTATGCAGTAAATTGATCCCGACTTCAACCTGAGGGTTTATATTTTGGCATTGCCTCATCCGTGTTGGACTTATGTATTGACTATTGGACCTCATCCTAACCCTGACCGATGGATGAACTTCTTGCCTCGATATCAGATCTGCCTTGCTCCAGTGCTGTTTTTTTATAATGTGGGCTCTTGGTTGGACCTGGCTGCTCCTTCTGTGTCTGTTTTGCTTGAATCCTGTAGGACTGAATCCTGACCGGGGAGGTATTGATCTCCTGGCTATTTTATTTCCCTTGACTCTGGGCTCCCTACCCCTTAGGGACTACCTGTTGCACCCTGATAAGCAATGAACAGATCCAGGTACATTAATATGGTCCATCTTGTGGTTTAACCATAATTCTGAGTGGCAGAAAACTGTAAAGGAGTGGGGTGGGGGGACAAAAAAAAAACCCAACACAAAAATGCTGAGTGTGGGGTTAGCTGTATTTTAGTTCACCCTCCCACACTAGTGTTTCTGACTGACTGCAGAGCTTGACAGGTGTCCGTGCATTGATTGTGAGTCAGTGTTTTCAAGGCTTTTTACTCAGCCCTGTGGAGCTGTATTTTTAAAGCAAAAGCAGAAAAACTGCAAGCCTGTGGTTTCAAGCCCTCAGGGCCAGTCCTTGCTGTTTTGGGAGGGTGGAAGTAGCTGGCTACCAGCTGTGAGAACAGTTATCCTGGATCCAGGCTTCTGTTACATTCAAAGCAGTGGCCGTGAGTGCCCGCTGAAAAACCTAAAACCAGCATAAACCTGCAGTGATGTTTAGCATACTCCTGTGGTTTCCTTATGCACAGATCCAAACATTGTTGATCCATATGTATCTCTTGATACTTCTCTACCTTTTCTTTTCTTTCGTTTTTTCTACTTTTTTTGGGAAAAAAAATAAGGTGCTGCATTGCAGTGAATCAAATGTTTGTTTCTGGCCTAGGTAACGGTCACAACAATTGGTTACGGAGACAAAGTTCCCCAGACGTGGATTGGGAAGACAATAGCATCCTGTTTTTCAGTATTTGCTATATCTTTCTTTGCCCTACCAGCGGTAAGTAGAACTTGGATCACTTTAACAAAGCCTTACAGTTAACAAAGCCTTACAGTTAGGTAGTTTTAAATTGGTGCCTTGGATTGGAAATAATGAGGTTGGGTGTTGCTTCAGGATGTGCACACAGACATCCTCAAGTGTATGTTTGTGTGTCTGTGTGCACATGCACAAATGAATGAAACTGCTGTGTATTTACTGCAGTCATTTTAGAGAGATATGGCCTAGAAAGAAGGTAAGGATGCTTTTTCACCACTTGGAGAACTGAAAATGTTCTGTGAGGTAAAAAGGGAGGGGTTTTTATCAGCATATTAGTGCTAGAGGTGAAAGGTCCTTTGTGATTATATAAGAACAGTCTGGAGTCCTGTGAGGAGAAATACTGCATCTGCTTTCCTATGTGGTACTATAAAGCATATTTAGGCTTTTTGGCTCTTCAGATAAATGAATGGGAGTGAAATAAAGAAAACAAGATCAAAACAGCTGGAAAAAAACAAAAATATTTCTTCAGTAGCTATTAGTTCTAACAGAAATGCTGAAATTATAAAGCATATCTTTTGCTTCTTTGCTCAGTTTTCTTGGATTCTGACTTTAGTTGTGGAGTTATTTTTTTGCAAAGAATTAAAAACAAGTGCAAAGAATAGCTGTGGATCAGTCGTGCGACACTGGCATTTGCTTCTCCTGCTGTTGTGTAGGTATGCCTTTGGAGCATGACTGCCTCCATGAATGCCTGTGACTAACGTTACCTGTAGATCACAGCAGTAAACACATGTTTTTTATTGAAGCTATATGCTGCCAATATTAACCTGCTAAGTTTCAGTTTTATTTGTTAAAATAAGTAGAATCCTTTCACTGCAGGCATTGTAAAATTCAGAACTTTTTCTAGGAATGTATTTTATAAAATGTCTTTTTGTTTCATATGCTAAGCATTTGGTGTAGGTATGTGAAGTTTGGAGTCCGATTAGTAATTTTGGTTTATTTAGGGTATTCTGGGGTCTGGTTTTGCCCTTAAAGTACAGCAGCAGCAACGTCAGAAGCATTTCAACAGACAAATCCCAGCTGCAGCTTCTCTAATTCAGGTAAGGCCCATGACAGTAAAATGCATAGGAGAGTATTAGAGAGGGAGTGCAGCCTAGTAGTTAAAGCAGTGAGAGACACAGTTACTAGACGCTGTGATAGGTAATTACCTATTCCTCCTCTTACGAGTGAGCAGAGGAGGCTTTAGTAACCTCATATTCACAGGTATAATGGCACTAACTGGATACAATGAGTTTATTTGGTGAAACAGTAAAAAGACCCTTGTTATAATCTTTAATTCCTGACATCCTTCCTATATTCTCTTAGGTCCTGTGTATCTGCCATCGGATGGTGGTGATGAATTTGTATATGGATACATTTATATACACACCTCAGTTTAGAAAAATGTACCAGCATAGCATTCTATATGATAATATAAAGAATGTAATAGCATGGTGCTCAAATACTAAAATGTGGCACACTGCAGGAAAAAGGAAGCAGCAGTGTTCTATGATGCTTGCAGGGATTCACTTTTACAAAGGCTATTTGGTTTTGGTGTGGTTTTGTGGGGTGGGAATAGACCCCCTTTCCTAAGAAAAACACTGCAAAAAGTGTACTTAACATCAGTTTGTGCAGAGCGTGTGTTTCCTGGTGCAAAATACATTCACCACGGTCATCCAGAGGGAAGAGTGTATTCCATTAGGCATAATGTTGTGTGGTATAACACACTGACTGTGGTCAGAAACCTTTGCAGCACCTTTGCATCAATTAAGATTTCACTGTCAGCTTGATTTGCAGCAAAAGCTGATTCGCCTGTCCTGCAGGACAACAGTGACTGCTTATTCACAGAAATTACTGGGTTTGCGTTTTATTATAGACTTTGTGGAGATGCTATGCAGCAGAGAAATCCTACAGCTCGACAGCAACATGGAAGATCTATGTTACACCACCAGTGCAAAATCCAAAAAAACCACCAGCGCCATCTAGCCCTAGTCTGAGAAAACAGGTAATGGAGAGTTGGCAGAGCTCTATTCTTTCTTTTAATTTGATTGGGATAACTTGCCAAAAGCTTTTTAAGGTCTCCAAAGAATCTGGAGAGCAGAAAAGCATTTGTGGTGGGACATTTGTTGTCCTCACGACACAGCAGGATTAGTTGTCCTTAAAATATTCCTGAAGGACAAATGTCTTCTAATTTTAAATTTACCCCAATGTCAGACAAGTGCTGATTTTTTTTTTTAATTCCCTTTGAAATTTCTTCAGCCTTCTCAAAGGGGCCAGGTAATGCAGTGATGGCACTTTACCATTTTGTCTAGTTCATACAAGATGAAAGGAGAAAGTTAGTTTAAATATTTGTGTTCACATTTGACATGTGGCTAATAGTATGTATGCCTTTATTCCTCATGTAATTCTCTCCAGGGTGCTTTTACCTGGGGATGTGTGTAGAAATTTGGGCAAATTCCTGAGTGGTGGCTGCAGTAAAATTGTATAGCGTTTGTCCCCACAGGTAGGATTGCCTAACCATAGGTATGTAGTTTCATTGGCAAGCTTGCCTAGACTTTGGCATCCTTTTCTAGAAAGGTCCAGATCTGCAGCAGGTCTAACTCAGATACCCAGAGTTTCTAAAATGATGTCAGAGGCCTGATTTGAGGTTGTGAAATCCCACTGACAGCTGTTGTCTGGCAGAGAATTGCAGTTGGATATCCCCACAATGTTTGTAAAAAGCTGTATCAGCACAATCTGTGTGTGTGTATATGTTTCGGTGTTACAGCGTTGTGATCTACTCAGTGTTGGCAAAGTTAAACTCTGCTCATGGGACTAGCTACTTCATAACTAGAGACAGAAAAAACAGGAGGAAAAGGGTAAAGTTGAAGTAAGGCTGGATAGTGTATGTTGCTGAGCAGCAAGCAATTCATGGCAGGAGAGCTGGAAAAAAAATCAACAGTTTTCAGTGTCCTTAGTATTTTGCCTCTGTTTTCTCTAGCGAGAGGGATTTCCCTAATGTATTATTGAAATGTGAATATATTGAGCCTACAGCTGTTTGTGTTGCTGTATGTGAATACTGCTTCTCCTTAGGGATGCTTGTCTTTGCTAACCAATTACTCTGGTCTCTGAGACCGCTATTTTGTAGAATTGAGTACAGTAGTCCTAGATCTCAGCTCCTTGTCACAAGGCTACTGGAGCATGAGGCAAACTAAAGTATACCTCTTGCCTCTGTTTTGAGGTGTGTGAGTACTAGAATCAGATGGGACTGGAACCAAAGTGTTGTGAGGAACAAGTGGTAACGGCATCCAGGAGGCAGACAGCACAGGCCATGTGGTCAGTCTGTGAGTGGCTGTTATGTTGGTCACTTTAGTCACAAAGGCAGATGGAAACCAACCTTGCTAGCAACCAGCTGAAGGCAAAGCTTCATTTTTCAATCTTATGTACCAATTGTAGGGTGTTTATTAAGTTTCCTCTTTGGCTCTAAAATCAGAAGAATTTCAACTTTGGAGGTATCTTCTCATGTGCCTAATTCATCCTTTTCTGTAAAAGGTGAAATTTTCTTTAGTTGAAAAGGCTCCACTGTGCCTATCTCATAATTTAAGTCTCTGGTTATGTTTAATTAGGGCTTTAGAAAATTATTATAGCCAAGCAGTTTGTATAATCAAGTGATTCATATTTTGGGTGCCTTGAGTTTTGGACCCAATCTGAGAAATTTTACTTGAGACTTGATTTTCAGAATGTGCTGTGCATCTCCTGAGAATCGAATTCTTGCGAGATTTAAGTTGATAACTGAGAATCAGCCACTCTGAAAACATTAACCAGTGTAACATTTTCAGTGAATTTGCGTGCATTCTTCAAATAAATAAAAAGAACACTCAAATGCAATACTGTATGGTGAAGTCCATGTGTGTACCTCTGTTTTTGATAAGTGTCTTCTGATATCCCGTTTCTATTACCACAGGCTAGAAGATATAAAAGGAAGGGGAAACTAGGCTGTGGTAATGGCTCTGCACCTGTAATAAACCCAGGAGAGAATGCCTTGTCTGTTCCACAGATCACTTATGATCACACTGATGAACAAGAAGACAAAAAAGATGTGTCTTTCTACATTGATGAACCAAGAGGTAATTTACTTTTGCTTGTGTCCAGGTTATTTTTAAGAGACAGTTTTAAAGTGAATTGAACTGATAAAGTGAAAATTTCTGTGAAAAACTAATTTTAAACTAATCAGTAACATAAAAAGTCCTCAAACCAAAACGAATTATGTAACAAAAATGGGGATCACAAAGGAAATCTTTAGATTCATGTGGTGTGAACATCAAAACAGCTGAGGTGGATGGAAAGCATCCTCATGTCTACCCCAGCTTTAAGCTTTAGCTCACTTGAAGGAAAATAAAATAGGAAAAATGTCTTAACGTTTTTACATATTTCTTAAACAATATGTAAATAAATTGTGATAGAAAAACTTAATATTTTTATACCTACTTCAACAAAGAGGTTTTTATAGGGGTGTGTGTGGGGGTTTTCCTTCATTTAAAGTATTGTGTGTTGCTGTAAGCGGCTGTTGTCCTTCAACCTAGAAACTGGCTGAATTTCCCTGCTAAGCTAAGATACTACTTTGCTTGTAAAATTATTATTTTTTTTAATTAAGTTTGTAGTGGAAATATGGGTATGAAATAGTATTGTTTATTATCAAGTAAGGTGGCCTTTTTTTGTGTATATTTTTTTCTACCTCTGTGTTGAATTACTTTGGGGTTTGGGAAACTTGTGCTTGTTCTGGACCCACTAAATATTTTTCTCAAGGAGAGATTGTTTACTCCTAGCAGTTATGTTCCATACGCTGAGGCATGCAAAGCCTTGCCAAGTTAACTGAGGTATCCAAGGATGCCAGCCCTAATCAAAGATATGTTATGTGGTGGTTTGACTCTAAGTTTTCATCTGTCTTTTGATAAACTTGAATATCGACTCTGTGTGAAATTGCTGCTCTTAAGCGATACTGAAGCTGGCACACAATTTCAGCTTAAAGAGGATGTAATGATGATTTTGACATGACGGTTTCTTTAATAAAAAGTACTTTAAATATTACTATCTCCAGAGGAACTATCTATTGTCTTTTGTATCAAATGCAATCCAAGGTAGGCATTTCACTGGATTGCTCTGACTTTACAGAGTTGCTAAACTGTATTGTCGATGCTGCCAATGTCATTGCTCCTTCAAAGATCTGAGAGCTGTTACATACTGAGGCACATCTGTAAGGGGTAGGAGCATCTGGCTCCCACGAGGACTCAGAAGGACCTTCATGCAACTGATAGCTATGAACTGTCATTGTGGAAGAGTTTCTTTCTTCCACTGATGGAGGTTTTAATTACCCCTCACATTCTTCCTTATGTTTTGTACTCTTTTATCTGTATCTGTCACTTTGAGGTTAGAATGCTTTTCAGCAATGGTGATATTTTAATTGTTTTCTGGCATTTCTAGTGCTTTTGTAGGGTTCTGGCAAAGAGGATGAAGAGTGTGATCTCTAAATAAAGTTGCTGCTTTAACAACGTATTTGTTAACACAATGCTATGTTCATTTTCAGCAATGTTTATTAGAGTCGTGTGGTTTTTCTTGCTGACCATGTAACAGCAGATTTTGAGTGTCGTGGTAATTCAGGTGGTGATGGACAGAAGGAGCAAAGTGCTGCGTGACTTAAAATAGTTGAATTATGTTATTTGTATTTGTCTCTGCTAGTGCACATTTATTTGCTAAAGCTACGTTCCTTAAAAGTTCATAGTTAGTTGGAGCAAAGCTCTGTGCATCAGAGGAGAGAGATTGAAAAGACAAATCTGTATCTTTTTCTGCCTGACAGCTTGATAACAGAGGAAAGTGAAAGAACCTTTTCTACCTTTTCTGAAAATGTTTTCTTGTACTTTCATTAAAGCTGGTCTAATTTATTCTTTTCCTGAGAGACTCTTGGATTTTTTTCCCTTACCAATTAAGTTTTACCTTTTTTCTCCATTTTCTTTCACATTTTGCCTTAGTGAGTGTCAGGGGTAAGTCACACTTCATTTGATTTTCTGATTCATTCCTTCTTTAGCAAAGCTTCAGGAATGTAGCTGGCTAACTTGATTGCTCAATTGACTGAACATTCTTGACACTTCTCAAAAGTTTAAAACTGATTTCTCTCAGTAAATTTCTCCTTAAGAGAATTAATAGGCTTCTGTTCTTGGGAAGCAGAAGCACTAGGCTTAAAGCCTGTAAATTGGGGTACCTTTTTTCCTCTCAAAAAGCTGAGAGCAGAAAAGATAGAGAAAAATAATAATAAAAAAGGCAATTGAAAAGGGCCATGCCAGCTTCTATTTCAGTGTTGCTAGAGTAGAATATTTTATTCATTGGTTGTAAGGGCTGGATGTTTTACAGATGATGGCAAACTTTGAGTTTGAATTAGATCACTTTTATAGGCCTGACCTGGGAGGAGCAGAGCTGTTGCTTTAAAACAGCTCTTCTAGTCTGCTGCTTCAGTCAGAAGTGAGAGAGACTGTAGGAGACCTGAAACAAAAGCTTGACAGTGCAGACAACAGAGTAACAGTCCCACTAAGACAATTTCTTGTTCTAGGCATAAATAGAATGAAATTAAATTAAAATTTCATTGATAATGGATTTACCTTAATTCAGGAACTGTATTGTAGGAACACACCTTTTCTTTTTTCTTTATCTTTAATGAAAATAAGGTTTTTCTTAGGCTATCCTCTTTGTGTATCCATGGCCATCCAGCATTCTCTTGGCTTGCTCAAAACTTGCTTTTGAGACCTATCTTTTAAAGCTAGGAAAAAATGCCTTCATCTTCTCTACGAAGAATGTTTGAGAAAAGGGAAGCCTTTATAAAGCCTATAGATTTGGTCAACATTAAGGTATTGGAGATGCTTGTGTATGTGTAATAAAACATGCATTGGATACATGATGTAGGAACTGAATCTTTACATACTGTAAATAATGGAATCCTGAAACAAACTTTTGGCAACCTAAAAGGAAAACAGTTCCTAATTTCATTCTGTACCATGTTTGGGATTTTTGTGTGACTGACAGTGCTCTGTAATCCTAAGAACTTTTGGCCATCCTTTCAGGAATAGAAAGGCTGAAAGTCTTCTGCAATAATAGTTTCCTTGTTTGAAGTCAAACCTCTTAAAATGAGGAACCTATTTATAAAGAAATTTAAAAGGAACAGCTAAAGAAAACATGCATCGAAGAAAAACAGTTCTGGAAAATAACTGAGATGCTGAAGATACTCTAGTACAATATATTTTCATGGATATATATTGCTATTGAAGAAGCCCTTTGTACCAAGTTGTATGGTTTTTTGTTTGTTTTGGTTTTTTTTTAATCTAGTGATTTTAAACCCTCGATGATTCCATTCTCACCGGAGATCTTAGCCATAATTGTTTTCTATAGATTCGAAATTGATCTTTACCCATATTTTTGCAAACTGTTGTGTACAAACTCCCCTGCAGCTGAGTCTGTTATCAGGATGACAAGACATGTATGAACTCTTTGGTGTCTTTAATGGGAAGGCACTTAAGTATTAAGATGGGAGTTAATTACAATAGCAGGAGTGAGTGGCAGGTCATAAAGACCAATCCAAATAGAAGAAAAACAAATAACATTTGAGTGTAACTGCAATATTTTACATACATTTGAGCTTCATCTTCAAATAACAGCTATTCACTGAAACGTATACTGAATAGCTATTTCATTATGTTTTTTATTATGGAGGAAAAATTTATAAAAATGTGAAAGCTGTTGGACCCTGAAGGTCAGCCTCCTGGGACATCTCTAGCAGATGGAATATATTTTCTCTGTCAGTTATTGTAGCTTGTATATACAACCCATTATTGTAAAATTTGTCAAAGTCATAAGACTCACAGTGATAAATCTCTGCTGGGGTGAAAACAAAATTCCCTATTTATCACTGTGCTTCTCTGTTTGCTTTCTTCGAGTTTCTTGCACGCTGATGTATTTCCCCCATCACCCCCACCCTGCCACTTTGCCCTCCATATTTTAAAGCAAAACTTCACAAGCGTAACTTTTCACCAGGATGGTGGAGAGAACTGTAATTTTCAATGACCCCCAGAATACTTTCATAAGCCCTCTTATACAAAGTGTGTAATAGCGTTAATGTTGATTTATTCTGTCTGTAATGCTAGTTTGGATGCTGACATTCTAGAATTCACCTGTCTAGTAATGGGTTGATTGTTCCTGGAAACTGGTTGTGCTTCCATTGGGGAAAAAGGGCTGCTTTCTTTCAGTGGTGTAGATGGATTAGAATCTGCAGTACCTAGAAAGAAACAAATTTCAAAAGTGGGTTCATAGATTCCAGTGCTGACAAGCTGAGTGAAAGGTGAGAAAAAACATGTGGCTAAAATTAACAGAATAAAGCAAACACCAAAGCTTTTGAGGGACTTCAAAACTGTCAGTAAGTCAGAAAAGCATAAATATAGGTATATGCTCCAAATTAGCAAGCAAAAGTATCCAGATACCACGCTTCTGAAAAAAAAATCATGCCTTTAAGAAGGCGAGTTTAGCAGATGCTGGTGGTTTTGCAGTGATTATCTATGTTATGCATAAGGCTGTTTAACTTCCAAAATTGTCAGTTCATGACTTGTAGGTACTAACGGTACTTGCCTGTGGAAACATATCTGTGTGCCTCTACCAGAAAGATTTCAGGCTTTACTGTTTTTTCAGCCCTAGCTGTCCAGAGTGAGAATTTTACTGTGGTTTGTTTAGCAGGACCAAAATGGATGGTAGAACTTGGGGTGTGGTGTATGGGGTGCTGGAGGCTGAGAAGAAGAGAACAGATGTCTCTGCTAAACTCAGTTCTGATTAAATCTGGCAGCTTTTGAGGTTTAGAAATTTATTTTTGTTCTGCATTTATTCAGCTCCCTGTTACGCCTGATTTAGGGCTGGTGTTTTGATCACTGGTCAGACTGAATTTGAGCAGGGACTTTGTAGCAGGTGATCTTGGGGAACATACAGGAGTGCATAGTGAGAGAAGGTATTTGCAGCTCCCTCAAACTTTTTCTGTTTAGTAACATTGGTAAAACTGGGTTTAGAATTTATCCAGAATACATTTTTGTTTTATTTGTGG